CTCAGACTGGGGCTCCATGCCAAGATCTCACCTCGTGGGGTATCACTGATGATAAGAAAGGTGAGGAATCAGCCCAGAACTACAAGGGAGGAGCTGGTCAATGACATGAAGAGAGCTGGGACCACAGTTCCAAAGGTCACTGTCGGTAGAACACTACGCCGTCATGGCTTCAAATCGTGCATTGCACGGAAGGTTTCCCTGCTCAAGTCATCACATGTCCAGGCCCGTCTGAAGTTTGCCAATGACCATCTGGATGATCCAGAGGAGGCATGGGAGAAAGTCATGTGGTTAGATGAGACCGAGGTAGAACTTTTTGGTCTAAATTTCACTCGTCGTGTTTGGAGGAAAAAAAAGGTTGAGTTGCATCCCAAGAACACCACTCCTACTGTGAAGCATGGGGGTGGTAACATCATGCTTTGGGGGTGCTTTTCTGCAAAGGGGACAGGACAACTGCACTGTATTAAGGAGAGGATGAATGGGGCCATTTATTGTGAGATTTTGAGCAACAAACTCCTTCCCTCAGTGAGAGCATTGAAGATGGGTCGTGGCTGGGTCTTCCAACATGACAACGACCCAAAGCACACAGCCAGGATAACCAAGGAGTGGCTCCGTAAGAAGCATATCAAGGTTCTGGAGTGGCCTAGCTAGTCTCCAGACCTAAATCCAATAGAACATCTTTGGAGGGAGCCGAAACTCCGTGTTGCTCAGTGACAGCCCCGAAAACCTGACAGATCTAGAGGAGATCTGTGTGGAGGAGTGGGACAAAATCCCTGTTGCAGTGTGTGCAAACCTGGTCAAGAACTACAGGAAACGTTTGACCTCTGTAATTGAAAACAAAGGCTTCTGTGCCAAATATTAACACTGATTTTCTCAGGTGTTCAAATACTTATGTTTAGCACTGCAAGACAAAAAAAATTCTTTAAAAATCATACAATGTGATTTCCTGAATTTTTTTTTAAATTCCGTCTCTCTCAGAGTGGGAATACACCTACAATGTGAATTTCAGACCCCTCCATGATTTCTAAGTGGGAGAACTTGCAAAATCGCAAGGTGTTCAAATACTTCTGTTCCTCACTGTACATACACACACTAAAATTTTGCATACAAATGTTTCGTATGCCTGCTTTCAGCCAGCAGGTAGCAATCCACTGTAGTTTCTTTTTTCACATTTTCTTGCCTCTCCCTATCTGCTTTGCTTTCCATATCTCAATTGTCCAAATGTATACACTGGCCGCATATGATTTGACTGAATGAAAGGGGTGGGCCAGAACAGTAAGGCTGGGGAGGAAAGGCCTAAATGATGTCAGATGTCCTCCAGTCAAAAAAAATGCACTACATGAATTGCTGCAACCTATAATGCTTGTGGAGAAATGCTGATAGCTCGGTTCTCAGTTTTCCTTGAGCAGTGACTACCAATCTCTGGCTCTCTGCTCTGCCCCTCCAGAGTTCACTGGGGTGCCAAACTGTGAAAGAGGCAGGAGAGGCTGGCTCTCTGAAAGGCTGAGCCAGCTGCCAGTCCAGGTATCTGGCTGGATCCCAACATAAGGATCGGGATCTCTCCTGAGTCTGGACCAGCTCAGTGATGTAAACCAAGAGCAGACTTTAGCATGCTGTCGGCTGAATATGGCTCACAGGAGTGCAGAAGCAAGTGCACTCCTGTGACCCACAGAAGAAGTAGGGCCAAAAGAACTTTGGCCCCCCTTCTACTTTAAATTCGAAATAAGGATGAAAAGCTTGCCTATTCACTGCTGGAAGGAGCAGGGTGAGCAGAGCTGCTGAGAGTGGAATTTGGATGACTTCAGCGCTCATGAAAATTTTGAGAATGAATTGCTCCGAATATCAGCTATAGCACGGTTGTCCAGTCCTGGGAGGGCGCCATATGACGTTCTCCCAGAACGCACTCTTCCACACACCCCCCCGGCGATCTCCGTGATCACTGTATCCTATGGACACAGCTGATCATGTGATGTGGTAACAGGCCAATCACAGCAGCCTTTTACCACGTGATCAGCTGTGTTCAATGACACAGCAGATCACAGTTAAATGCTGTTGCCGGTTATCAGCTGCACTTTCCTCACGCTGTCACAGCATGAGGAAAGTACTGCCGATAACCGGCAATTGTCAGAGGACAGATCAGTGATGCTCCGTGCCTAGCAGTACCGCCCACCACTGTGCCCAGCAGTGCCGTACAAAAGTGCCCATCAGTGCCACCTACTTGTGCCCATCAGTGCCTAGCAGTGCCACCCACGAAAGGCCCAGCAGTGCCGCCAGACAGTGCCACCCATCATAAAAAAATACCTGTTTGCAAAATTTTATAATAGAAAGAAAGAAAATTTTTTGCTCTTTTTTTTTGTTTATAGCGCAAGCAGTAAACCACCCAGTGGCGATTAAATACCACCAAAAGAAAGCTCTATTTGTGTGAAAAAAATTAAAAAAATTTCATATAGGTACAATGTTGCATGACTGCGCAATTGTCAT